CAGAGAGACAGAAAGCGAGAAATCACCCCCCAGGGGGGATGGCCATGCTACAATCCCTTCTTCTCCGTTCTCTCAGGATCTTGGGCACACACGAGCACACGCCCAGCATGAGTTTTAAGCCACCGGGTCCGGGATGCGAACTGCAGTCGACTACATGGGAGTCCAGCGACATAGCCATTACACTAACTGCTGATCCCAGTGTATATATACTCGCCAGAGAGAGACAGAGACAGTGAGAAGGAAAGTGAAAAGTTGCCCCCAGGGGATGGCCATACCGCAATCCTTTCTCTTTCATACTCCTCCAGGGATCTTGGGCATGCACACACATGCACCTGGCATGATTTTCAAGCCACCAGGTGAAGGACTCGAACTGTGGTTGGCTGTATGGAGTCCAGTAACATAACTGTTATGCCATCTGCTGGCTCATAATAAGGAAAATTTTGACATTATATTTAAAAATGCTTTCATGGATTTGATACCAAAGTGCAGGCAACCAAAGAAAACATAAATTGCACTTTGGGGCCAGCAAGTGGCATGGTGGTTAAGGCACTGGACTCCTACGTAGCTTACTATGGTTCAAGTCCCTAACATGGTGGCTTGCTTTCTCATTTTCCCTCTATTTCGGTTTCTCTTTGGTCAAATTTTAAAAATAATAAATTAAATTAAATTGAACCCTTTAAAAAAAAGTCAACGCTTAATCATATGTTATGTGAATTTCTCAATTAAAAAAAGAAAGTTTAATATAAAAAAATAAAACAAATTGGATTTCATCGAAATTGAGAACTTTGTGAATCAAAGGATACTATTAAGAAAGTGAAAAGGCAAACTACAGGTGACAGAAAATATTTGCAGGGCTAGTTCCATAGCACAGTGGTTTAAGTGGTAAGCTAGAGAGCAAGATCCCACATGGCTGACCACAGTTCAAGTCCTGGCCCACTAGCTTGAAAAATATGCTGGGCACATGTACATACATACATGCCCCAAATCCTGATGGGAAGGAGAAATGGAAGAGAAAGATTGAAGTGTGACCACAACCTGTTGAAGAAATGCTTTCTCTTCCTCTCTCTGGCAGGCACACACACCCTTTGGCAATAAAAAACAATATTGGTTGTTGGAAAAATCATGATGTATTTTTTTCTTTGTTTTTCTATGCAAAAATGTGCCATGACGGGACCAGCGGGTAGCATGGTGGTTAAGGCGCTGGACACTCCCATGTAGCCAACCACGGTTCAAGTCCCGGACCTGGTGGTTTACTCTCTCTCTCTCTCCCTCTCTCTCTCTCTCTGTGTTTCTCTCTGGTCAAATTAAAAAAAAAAATAAGTGACTGAATAAATAAAAAATTAAATAAATAATTTAAAAAAATGTGTCATGACTTTTCTGACAACCCAGTAAAATCATAAAAAAGAAAACAGGGCCTACCCATGGCCTGGTGGTTGAGGCATGGGTGACCATGCAATTTGAGTCCTGGACTCATCAGCTTGAAAAACATGCTGGGTATGTATGCAGATATGCCTAAAATCCTAAAAGGAGGAGAGATGGAGAATGGACTGTGGCATCACCAGACTCTGTGGGGGATGTTTTCTCACATTCCCTCTCTGTCTATCTGGCAAATTAAAAAAAAAAAATTGCAAACATACCTATAATAATAGGTCAATATCCAGAACACATGAAGAAATTCTAAAACTCAACAACAAAACAACCCAATTAAAAAATGGGAAAAAGATTTGAATAGAGATTTATCCAAAGATATACAAATGACCAATAAGCATCTGAAAAGGTGCTCACTATCTTAGTCATATATTCACAATGGCCAAAAAGTGGAAATAACCCATGTCCATCAACAAGTGAATGGATAAACAAAGGTGGCCTATACAAGCAGTAAGATAATATTCCAACATAAAAAGGAGAGAAGTTTTGATATATTCTGCAGCATGAACGGGCCTTGAAAACACTATATTCAGTGAAATAAACTAGACACAGGACAAATATTGCATGATTCCAAACTTATATAACGTAATATGAATAAGCAAATTCATAGAGACAGAAAGTAGAATAAGGGTTGCCAGGCACTAGAGGAAGAAGGAAAGATGATGTTACTGTTTGATGAATACAGAGTTTATGTTGGAGGATGAGAAAACTTTGGGTATAGGGAAAATTGATGGTTTATATAACATTGTAAATATATTTAATGTCATTGAATTGTATACTTGCAAATGGCTAAAATAATGTTATCTTTATTTTACCACAATGAAAAAATGTTAATCTTTGATTTACTACAGACCCAGTAATCCACTTCAAGCGATATGCCTGAAAGAAATTAAAACGGTGTCTGTGGGGATGGCATAATAGTTACATCACTAGACTCTCATGTAGTCGATCTGTGATTCTAGTCCTAAACCTGGTGGCTTAAAACTTATATTGGGTTGGGACCAGTAGTTGGCATAATGGCTATGTCACTGGACTCCCATGTAGAAGACTGTGGTTTGAATCCCAGATCCGGTGGCTTAAACTCACACCGGGCATGTGTGTGTGTATACCCAAGATCCCAAGAAGAGAATGGAGAAGGGACTGTGGCGTGGCCATCCCTCCTGGGGGATGATTTCTTGCTTTCTGCCTCTCTGTCTCGCTCTTTTTTTCTTGTGAATACATGAACCCTATAGCAAAAAACTTTCCAAAAAACAAAACAAAAATACATATATCGGGTGTGTGTGCATGCATGCCCAAAATCCTGAGAGGAGAAGGGACTGCATGGCTACTCCCCCTGGGTAGTGATTTCTCACTTTCTGTCTCTCTCTGTCTCTTTGGAGAGTGCACCACATGCCTTAAAGCAAAAATCTCTCTCTTAAAAAAAAAAAACAAAAAACAACATGTCTACATAGAAACTTGCCCATGAATGCTGGTAGCCACATTCACAGTAGCTAAAAAGTGTATTAACTCAAAAGTCCATCTGAACTGAAGAATGAACAAACAAATGTGGACATTTACTCAATAAAATATTCGACAATGAAGAGAGTCAAGTTAATACTGGGGAATTTGGTCCAGCCAGGTGGCATGGTGGTTAAGGCAGCTGGATCTATGTGTCTGACTGTATGGTTCAAGTCCCGGACCCAGCAACTTGAAAAACATGCCAGGTATGTGTGCGTGTGTGTGTCACAATTCCAAGAGGAGAATGGAGAAAGGATTATAGCACGGTTATCCCCTTTTGGGGATGCTTTCTAACGTCCTTTCTTTCTCTCTGTCTCGTCCACTCCCCCAGCAAGTACACACACTTTAAAGCAAAAAATAAAAATGAAGGAGCCAGCAGGTGGCAAGGTGGTTGAAGTTCTGGACTCCCACATGGCGGTCCACGGTTCAAGTCCTGGATCTGACAGTTTGCTTTCTCACTTTCCCTCTCTCTCTCTTCCCATGTCTTTCTCTGGTCGGATTAAAAAGCAGTAATAAATAGGGGCTGGTGTGGTAGTTAGGGCCGTTTGTGGTTTGAGTCCAGGACCTGGCAGTTTGTCACTTTCTCTCCTCTCTCACTCTCACTCTCTCTTACTCTGTCCCTCTCTGATCAATTAAAAAAAAAGAAAATAAATAAAGTAAATAAAGTTAAACCAAAGAATTCTTAAGAAAAAGTAGTAATAATAAAAAAAATACTGTTAAAGAACTTTCAGAATAGGGTGACAGAAGATAAAGTGTTAGAAGATTTTAGGTATTGGGACCAGCAGTTGGAGTAACGGCTATGTTGCTGGACTCCCATGTAGTCGACTGCAGTTCGAGTCCTGGACCCGGTGGCTTAAACTCACGCTGGGTGCATGTGCGTGTGTGCCCAAGATCCCAAGAGGATAATGGAGGAGAGGGGACTGCTGCATGGCTATCTCTCCTGGGGGTGATTTCTAGCTTTCTGTCTGTCTCTCTCTGTCTTTCTGGTGAGTGCACACACTCTATAGCAAAAACCTCTCAAAAAAAAAAAAAAAAAGATTTGGGACCAACGGTTATCATAATGTTTAGTGCGTCAATCATCTTCTGAGTCCTGAACCTGGAGGCTTGAAATTCATGCCGGGTGCATATGCGTGCATGCCCAAATTCCCAAGAGAACAATGGAGGAGAAGGGATGGTGGCATGACCATCCCCCTGGGGGGGTGATTTCTTGCTTTCTGTCTCTATGTCTCTCTCTGTCTGTTTGGCGAACACATGCGTCCTATAGCGAAACCCTCTCCAAAAAAAAAAAAAAAATTTTTAGGTATTGATTAATCCTGTTTTTTGGGTTCCTCATTAGTACAGATAAATAGCAGACCATCTATATCTGATTTGGTACACTACATTTCTGTACTTCTTTTCCCAACTTTAAGTATAGGATAAAGGTAACAAAATATGAAATTTGTGAATCATTTTTAGTTATCTCACCGGTGAGTAGCTCTATCCATGTTTGGACAGTTTCTGTGGGGTCAGTTGCTTTGATGTGTTTGAGAGTTTCATCCAGTAAAACGTCACCCGTTGGACTGTCTGACTTTAGCAGTACCTTTGAGGAAAGAACAAACAAGGATTGATGTATTCACTTCATTCAAGTTAAAATCTTTCAACACATCATACAATATATACACAGCTGGTCAAGTGTTGCAAGAAATATAAAGAAGCATAATATACTGCCTCTGTTCTCAAGAAGTACAAAAATCTCACATGGGATGATAGTGGGAAGACAAAAAGAACATGTGAAGTGGGCCCTCATGACAACTTGAATATAAAGGACAAGGGAGAAAAGATTCAATATTAACTCGAGTTTAGACAACCAACTTGTGAAACATTTAGTGAAGTAGTAAAGGAAGTAAAGGAAGCCAGTTTTGGGGGAAAGTTACTAAGTTTGTTTTTTGTTTTTAAAGAATTATTTTATTGAAGTTTATTTATTTTATTTATTTTAATTTGATCAGAGAGGGAGAGAGAGAGAGAGAAAGAGAGGGAGGGAGGGAGGGGAAGCAAGTCGCCAGGTCCAGGACTCGAACCATGGTTGGCCATGTGGGAGGGTTCGGTAAGTTTTTGTTTTAACTGATAGAGGACAGACAAGTTGAAATGTTTAGCTGATAGTTAAGTATGTTCCTGAAGGTATGTCTAGAAATTTGGGAGTTTAGTCTCATGGAGGTGACAGATGAACCTGCAAAGGTGAAAAATATCTCCAAGAAGAAAGAAAAGCATGCAAAGGGATATAGATTTAGATATCAGCGAATGGAGAAGTAAAGGAAACAGAATATTCAAAGAAGCAAGAGAATAAAACAAAGACCAAGAATGGAGCAAGTTTCAAGTAGGAGGAGGGGATCAACAATGTCAAACACCATACATAAAAGAGAAAAACAAACTGAAGATCAAAAAGAAGCTGGTGATACTGAAGAACATAGTTTTAGTAGAATGCTTAGGATGGCAGTGAAGCTGTGAGTAGAAAAATTTAGTAAGAACATGGATACCAGAGTATAGTTCATATGTTGGAGAGGACGTGCAGTAAGTGGGAGAAGAGAAACTGTATAGTTAATGGAGAATAACTAAAGTGAAGCAAAGATAGCCTAACTCACATGACTCCCTCCACCTATGTAATACCTTATTTCATGTTATAGATATATAGAGAGAAATCAGCAGCAGTATCCTCAATGTGACTTTTCTGCCTAAAAAAGGAAGACAAAACCACAAACTTCCTATGACTCTTTAGACCATGCATATTAGATTTCTCCCTCTGCTACCGAATAATTAAACCTGTTTAAAAACGGGACAGCTGAGTCAGTGATATTTATCTTGTCTCACACTCAGGTCTTTCTATTCTTTCAAAAATGTACTCCTATATTTGATTTCCATTAAGTTAAGAGGATAGTGAGAGTACGCTGTACCTTTCTGTCCAGTAGTCGCTTCTTACGCATAGTTGGGGGTTCCAGATAGATTCGACCCCGCATGGCTAGTTCTATGAGGATGCCCCCTCTCAGGCCGGAAGATATGCAGTCATTCCAGAAAGATGTGTAACCCTAGGAAAGGGAAAAAGAGAAGAGAATGTTCTAAAAGGGATTATTTATTTTCAGCAGACACCTCAAGAATGGGTCACATTGCTGTGATTATTTCATATCACATTATATGAATTGAAAACGAAGTAAGTATAGGAAAAGAAAACAGATGGTGGGCCCCAGCACACAGTATAAGCACTGTGTATTGGCAGCCAGATACCACTTCACTGACTGTGGTTTGAATCCTAGTCTCGGCAGCTTGAAAAACATGCCAAGTGGATATACATACATGCCTCAAAATAAGATGGGAAGAAGTGATGGAGAAAAAATGATAGTGGCATGGTCTGCCTCACTGGGGTGTGAACACACACTTTCTCTTTTGATTTGCAATAAAAAAAAAATTTTAAAGAACTATTATTTATTTATCTTTATTTATTTAAATTTGACCAGAGAGGGACATAGTGTGAGAGAGAGAAAGACAGGGGAAGTGAGAAAGCAAGCCACCAGGTCTGGGACTTGAACCGTGGTTGGCCATGTGGAAGTCCAGCTCTCTTAACCATCATGCCGCCTGCTGGCCCCTGCAATAAAAAAATTTAGAGGAAAAAGATAGTAGAATGCTTCTTAATTCCTGTAATTGAAACATCTCAAAATATGATTATCTGGCTTCAAATTCTTTAATGAATTCCTATAGTTTCACTATTATAAGTCAATAATTGTCGGGACCGGCAGGTGGCATGGTGGTTAAGGGAACTGGACTCCCATATGGGCGACCAAGTTCAAGTCCCAGATCTGGCAGCTTGCTTTCTCACTCCCCCTCACCCCCCCTTTTCCTGTCTCTGTCTGGTCCAATTACAATAAATAAATAAATAAATTTAAATAAAATAATTTTTAGAAAAATATTTATTTATTTAAAATTTTACTTATTAGCATTTTTCTTCAATTTTGACCAGAGAGAAAGATAGACAGAGAAAGAGGGAGTGAGAAAGCAAGCTGCCAGGTCCAGGATGCAAACTGTGGTCACCCATGTGGGAGTCCAGCGCTTCAATTGCCATGCCACCTGCCAGTCCCATAAAATAATTCTTAAAAAAAAAAATGACATGCCAAGTTCTAATATTCTAAAAAAGTTAATCTCTCTCTCTCTCTCTTTTTTTTTTGCCACAGGGCACATGCACATGCTGGAGAGTGACATAGAGGTAGAGAAGTAAGAAATCATCCTCGGGGGATGGCCATGCTGCAATCTCTTCTCCATTCTCCTTTTGGGATTTTTAGGCTCACATGCACACACACCTGACATGTTTTTCAGGTCACTGGGTTCAGGACTTAAACCGCAGAGCTGACTATGTGGGATCCACTGCCTTAACCATTATACTACCTGCTGGTCCCTTATTAAAAATTTTTAAAATTCCATTTTCCTTTTCACTGTCTTGGAATTTATACACACTTTTCTTTTAGAATTATTTGTGGGGAATAATTGGTGTAGTGGTTACATCGCTGGTTACTCCAACATGGCCAACTGTCGTTGAATTCCTGACCTGGTGGTTTAAAATTCATGCTGCGTATGTGTGCACATGTGTCCAAAATCCCAAGGAGAGAATGGAGGAAAAGGGATTCAGGCATGGCCAACCCCACTAGGGGGTGATTTCTCGCTTTCTGTCTGTCTCTCTGGTGAGCATATAAGCCCTGCAGCCAAAAAGAAAAAAAGAAAAAAAATCCCCCAAAACACTAAGTTATAATTAGTGAGGGCTGGCCTCATAGTGATGGTTAAGGTAAGCCAGGTGGCACGTGGTGGACTGTAGTTCAAATTCTAGCCTGGCAGCCTGAAAAATGCACTGAGCATGTGAGCATGTGTGCCCCAAATCCTGAAAGGAAGGAGATGTGGAGGGAGAAGGGATTGTGGCAGGGCCATACCCCACTGGAGGATGTTTTCTCACTCTCTCTCTCTCTTTCTCTCTGTGACCAGAACATGTGCCCTCTGTTAAATTAAAACAAAAGTTATCCTTGACCTTTTAACATACATGACCATTAATTTAATACTAACATAAAATATAAATTAAAAAATTTATTTTAGCCACTCTCCTAGTGTCCAGTATCTTTTTTATACCTTACAAATTAGATATTAGTTGTCATCATTATTTTATATAGGTGGTCTTTGTTCAGATTTACTCAGAAGCTTACCAACTCCTTTGCTCACCATTCCTTTTTGCACTTCAGATCTCCTTTCTGGTACCACTTTCCTTCATACAGTAGAATTTCCTTAAGTGAAAGACTATTGGAGGGAAACTCTTATTTGAAATGTCTTCATTCCCTATCTTTCTTCTTCTTCTTTTTAAAAAAAATATTTTATTGAACTTTAATGAATTTTTTTTTTAAATTTTATTTATTCATTTACTTATTTTATTTTAACCAGAGAGAGACACAGAGAAAGAGAGAAAGTGAGAAAGCAAGCCACAAGATCCAGGACTTGAACCATGGTCAGCCATGTTGGAATGTCCAGCGCCTTAACCACCATGCCACCTGTTGGTCCCCTGAATTAATTAATTTTAATTTGTCCAGAGAAGGACAGAGTGCGGGGTGGAGGGGAGTGAGAAAAGCAAAGTCACCAGGTCTGGGACTCGAACCACGGTCAGCCATGTGGGAGCCCAGTGCCCTTCACCACCATGTCCCCTGCAGCCCCAATATAGATTTTTGGAGAGATTTTCACTGTAGGGCACATGCGCTCACCAGACAGACAGAGAAAGTGAGAAATCACCCCTCCCAGGGAGATGGCTATGCCACAATCCCTTCTCCATTCTCCTCTCGGGATTTTGGGCACCCACGCACACATGCCTGGCGTGATTTTCAAGTTGGTAGGTCCAGGACTCTAACTACGGTCGATTACATAGGAATTCATCGACGTAACCATTACACCATCTGCTGGTCCCTATTTTCCTTTCTTGAAAGGTAGCTTCTCTGAACAAAAAATTCTAGGTTGATAGTTTCCTCTTATCACACTTAAGACATTATGCCCTGTCTAACTTCCAGCATTACAGTGAAAAATTTGTCATTCTTACAGACGGTGGTTTTTGCAGCGATGTGACTTTTTTCTCTCGTCCTTAAGATCTTCTCTGGGGGCCAGCAGGTGGCGTAGTGGTTAAAGTACTGGAATTCCACATGGCCCATCATTGGAGTCCCATCCCAGACCTGGTGGCTTGCTTTCTCACTTTCCCTTTCTTGCTCTCTGATCAATGTAATTTTTTTTTTTAAATAATAATAATAATAATAATAATAACAATAAAATTAAATAATTAAAAAAAGATCTTCTCTGTTGGTATTTTACAGTTTGACTACAACACAATTGTGTGTGACTTTATTTATCCTGATTGACATGTTATAGTTTCTATAGCTGTGGGTTCATAGTTCTCAAAAATTCTCGGTTCTTCTAAGAATTTTGACCTCCTCTACTGTCTTTATTATTTCTTTCTGGGACTTCAGTCTTTCTTACTTTAACCCCCAGGTCTTCTAACCTCTCATATTTTCTATTGCTTGTGCTCTGTACTGAAGAGTAATTTTATACCTGGCTTCTAATTTACTATTTCTCTCTTCACCTGTATCTAATAATTTCTCTTCACCTGTATCTAATAATTTATCTCTGTGCTTTTTTCTTAAGAATTATTTTATTTAATTTTTCTTATATTAATTTGACCAGAGAAGGACAGAGCGAAAGAGAGAGGAAAAGGGAGAAAGCAAGCACCTGGGACTCAAACCTCAGTCAACCATATGGCAGTCCAGTACCCTTAACTACCACACCATCTGCCAGCCTCAACCCTGTGAGTTTGATTTCAACAATTTTTCATTTGTAATAAAATTCTGTTTAGTTATTTTCACATTTGCCTGGTTATCTGTGATAATTTCTTTTTGCCATTCATTTTGTGATTCTTTCATTTTATTTAATTTCTTTCTTTCTTTCTTTCTTTTTTTTTTTTGGAGAGGTTTTTTGCTGTAGGGCGTGTGCGCTCGCCAGACAGACAGAGAGAGAGAGAGACAGAAAGCGAGAAATCACCCCCCAGAGGGGATGGTCACACCACAATCCCTTCTCCTCCATTCTCCTCTTGGGATCTTGGGCACACATGCACACGCGCCCGGCGTGAGTTTAAACCACCGGGTCTGGGACGCGAACCGTGGTCGACTATGTGGGAGTCCAGCGACATAGCCATAATGCTAACTGCTGGTTCCCATACTTTCTTTTTCTTTTTTTAAAGGATTTTGGGCTTAGAATATATTCACATGCTGGAGAGACAGACAGAGAGAGTGAGAGGGAAAGTGAGAAATCATCCCCTGGGGAGATGGCCTCGCTGAAATCCCTTCTCCTCCATTCTTCTCTTGGTATTTTGGGCATGCACATACACACAAAGACACACAGCATGATTTTCAAGCTACTGGTCCCAAGACTGGAACCCCAGTCAGCCATATGGGAGGAGTCCAGTGCCTTAACCACCAGGCCATCTCCAAGCCCTAATTGTTTTATTTCTTTAAAAATATCATAGATATTTCATATTGTCTGATTATTTATTTTTATTTTTACTTATTTTTTTTGGAGAGGTTTTTGCTATAGGGCGCGTGTGCTCGCCAGACAGACAGAGACAGAGAGACAGAAAGCAAGAAATCACTCCCCGGGGGGATGGTCACGCCGCAATCCCTTCTCCTCCATTCTCCTCTTGGTATCTTGGGCACACATGCACATGTGCCTAGTGTGAGTTTAAGCCACCAGGTCCGGGACTCGAACAGTGGTCAACTACATGGGAGTTCAGCGACATAGCCATTATGCTAACTGCTGGTCCCTTGTCTGATTATTTTAATATCTGAGGTCCTTGATATCTGATAATATTTGAGACCTATTACTTTTATTTCTGTTGATTCTTTTTGGAGAGGTTTTTGCTATAGGGCGTGTGTGCTCGCCAGACAGACAGAGACAGAGAGACAGAAAGCAAGAAATCACTCCCCGGGGGGATGGTCACGCCGCAATCCCTTCTCCTCCATTCTCCTCT